TTGAAGAAGTATCAACACCATACTTTATTGAAAAATCTATAACCAATAAAGTTTTTCTATTAAAACATGCAGAAGCAGTAAAACAATTCAATATTCAAAATATTTCAAATAATTGTTTTGATCAAGTATAGAATTAAAAAGTTTTGTCATATATAATTATATATAATTATTTATTTAATTAAACCATTCATCCATTTGTTCATTTAGGGTGAATTTGATCGTTGGCGAATAACAATGAAAGTTGCCAAGTTACGAATGCCTTCTTTTGAAGATATTCAAAAGAAACAGTTGCAGATAAAAGATGCAAATGAACATAATCTTACACATCAGGAAGTTGATGAAATGGTTAAAATCAAGAAAGAATTGAGGAATTCTACATTTTTGTTAGAAAAATCTGAATCATCATCATCTTTACAAAAAGAATCATCATCATTGTCATCAATAAAACAACAAGAAGGAAAAAATCTCAAATCAATTGATATATTTAATAAGACATTGCCAATTTTAGAAACTGGGAGAATTGCTGTTAAAAAAAGAAGTTATTTAGAGGAAGTGGAGGAACAACAAAGAGAAGAGGAAAGGAGAAAAAGAAGATTAAGAGGTAGATATACAGTTTATTAATTATTGATTATTTATTTATCCAATCATTCATCTAATAATTAATTTTATACATATGTACATATAATTTTTACTAATTAACTAATTATATGGCAAAAAAAATTCAAGAAAAAATACCCAGGAAAAATTTGGATTCAATATTACATGATGATACACTTGATATAAAACTTGAACCGACAGATCCTAATTATAGGTTTCGAAAAGCCATCAATAGAAAGATGAAAAAACTAGAAAAATTACTTTATAGTGCTGATATTGATATGAGACTTGTACCTGATCCTAGATATGAAATAGTTAGAGAACTTGTAGAAACAGAATATGAAAAAAAATATGAAAATTTTCGAAGAACAATAATTTATTAGACTACTTGATCAAATAAATCAGAATTTGGAACGATTCATCCTTCAATTAAAATAAATAAATAATTGATTAATATACTAAATATATATATTTATTTATATTACTGTTAATATTAATATCGATCATATTACACTGGTAAACTCGATAAGTTGCATTCAGCCAAAAAAAATTCAAGTAAAGCTTCTATAATAGGTTTATATGCCGCATCTCGTTCTGACTTTCCCTATAGACATTTAAAAAAACATATTTATATTTATATTTATACGGCTACGTATTTAAATATATCTGATATATACATACTTCTACTGCCCATTCCCTAACAAATTGTTTGATCGTACTTCTAACTCTGTCCATATCATATTCTGTTATTGGTAAATTCGATTCTTCAACACCTTCTTCACCATCTTCTTTCTCAGCTTTAGTAGATAAATTTTGGCTATCCTGATCCATAAACGATGATATTTTTTTTAAAAAAATAATTTTTATTTTATTTCGTCTTCAAAATTAGGGAAACCTAAAAATTTATATTTT